CGGGGCCGTTGCCTGGAAGAAATGGTGTAGTAGGCTGAGCCTGTTGTGTGAAGGCTGCATACGGCTGCAGTAAAATCAGAGCACCAGCATGATGTACATCTAGTACTTGGTTGAATGAAAAAACGGTCGAAAAGGTGACACGTGAAAGAACCGTGAAAAGTCGAGAAAATGTCTGAATCGAAAGTCAATACAGCACAGACTGAGTAGTTTGTTTTCCATCCGCACGCCATAGAACACATTGGTGAAACTTGATCACGGAACTGTTTTGGTCGCGTGGTTGCTCAAGTGGCTGTCTCTTGTAGCGTCAAGTGTGCCGCTGTCATCAGCGGCCGACAGCAGGTCCGCAGCATCCGCAGTCGGTTGTCTGTAGTTGTGTCTGTCTCGTGAACGTGAGCGTTCTCTTGTCGAGGTGGTGGTGGTGTAAGAGGGAGAGGAAGGAAAGTGAGAGCGTCTGTGGGAGCGTGCTGGGGACTGTGGTGGTGTAAGAGGTTCAGTGGAGAGGAAATCGGTGGGGTGAGGTGGGAACTGTGCTGTAGGGTCCACGCGGTATTGGCCGGACTGGCCTGGAGGGCCTGGTAGGAATTGGAGCAATCGTTGAGCTCGTATCAGGCGTAAAGTGGCTCGGCCAAGGTCAGTCAAGGTGAGTTGAAGCTGATAGAAGAGCCGGTAGGCATTGTTGTCGACAAACATGGTGGGATCTGGTGTGGGTCCTGCGGACAAAGGGTGTTCCATGATGTGTCGGACAAGCATGGAGAGAGTGTCCAACATCCAGCTGAGAAGAAGAAGTTCTGGTTGGTGAGTGATGGATGGTGCGAGGTGTATGGGTCCATTGCCTGGAAGGAATCGTGTGTTGGGAGCCTGTGCTGTGAAGGCTGCAGCAGCTGTAGGGTGTGGAGTAGGTTGTGATGTCAAGTGATGATTGTTGCTGATGACAGGATCGTAGGCTATGCCGGCAGCAGTTGCGGCACGATCGGAGGCCATGATTTGGCGAAAGAAAGAAACGAAAGAAAGTTCAAGGGCATACGGCTGCAGTATCGTCAGTGCACCATCTGAGATGCGTGGTTGAATTCCCGTAGTTATCAATGGACAAGAGATTACAAAGGTTGAATCATGACGTTGAAATCGAGCTTCCCTCTCTCTACGGTTGTTTCCGGCAGCGCGCCTAGAGAAGCTTGGGTTCCGGATGCCTGTCCTCACTGTTGACTCGCCCCGCCTCTGCTGTAGAATCCGCAGCTGCAGCTTGTGGAGTGTGATGTGACGATGGAGAGTTAGAAAAATCTGCTTCTGAATGTGGTGGGTGAGGTGTTGCTGGCGGTGTTTGTGCTGGCGATGTGGGAGTGGGGGAGATGGCTGGTGAGGGATGTGGAGAAAAAGGTCATCCCAATTGGCTTGGGAATTTAATGGTGGTGCTGGTTGTCGTCGTTTTTTGGGTTGTGGTGTAGGAGAAGGGGAAGAAGAATCGAGAGATGCTGCTGGTTTGCGTGGTGCTGGAGAGTGTCTGTGTACTGGTGCTGAGTCGCAAGAGGAGGTGGGTGATGGTAATGGGATGGTGAAAGAAGGAGGCGGTGGAAGAGGGGGAAAGGAACATTGAAATTGATTGTCAACCTGTCCAGTGTGGAGCAGGTACAGGTTGTGGAGGTCGGCAATAATGTCGGTTGCTTGTTGGAGGAGGCGGTCAAGTTGATCTGGGCTGTTGTTCATCGTTGGTGAAAGCTTGGCCAATGTATGGTCTTGAAGAGCGGCACGGCAGCGCGGCAGGCGAAGCGCGGCAGCACAGGTAGCATGAACGGTCGGCTGGAGCATGCAAATGAATTATCGAGCACGATTTTTGCAGAAAACAAAGGTGCCTTTAGAAAGGCGGCAAGAAGTTGCTCCAATCAAATGTGCACGACATGTCGTAAAGCGTTCTAGAAAGACCACTCCAAGTAAGGGAACACAGAAAATCCGCATCAAAAATCTGTTCTCGTGCAACATAAGAACGTTCAAAGGAGGTAGAGCGTATGGTCACCTGTTGTATCATGGGTGTGGTCCAAGAAGACCAGCATGTTCTGTATAGGTGCAAATTGAAAACGGAGTGTCCGCTGCGAACTGAATTCTGGCAGTCGGGCTCTTTTTGTCGCCGAGCGGGTGGTATGTGGTGGAGTGTGAAACAGGTGAAAAGGTGGCCAGTCAGGGTGGGAGTTGTTGTTGTTGTGGTGAGTTAGGTGTCTGGTGGAGTGGAATTGACAGACCACGCCAAGCCTTTGACAGTCGCATTGTCTGGGTGTATGACCCAGCATCGTGCTTTTGCGTGGCATACGGCACCGTGTTGTTGGAGGAGCAGGTTCATAGCACGCTCCTCTCCGCCGCTGGTAAATTTGGTACCCTGTCCCCAGGCAAGTAAGTTGACAATGATTGAACGTGTGTTCTTGGCGAGGTTCCAAGTGTTGTGGAGAATTCGGGCATGTTCTGCGTTGTCATGTTGTAGTTGTTGTGTGATGCGAACTCCCTGGGCAAAGAACCCAGGGTTGTTGGGGAAGTGCTGGGCAGGAAGCGGCCCTGCTGGAGGATGTTGGTGATGCTGCCGAGAGGGCCAGTGTGGCCGGCATTGATGTGGACCAGTTCTGGCGAGGTGGAAGTTGCACGTGTCGCTGGTGGTGGGAAGCGACGAGTTGCTTTTTGGACCAGGCTGGGAATGGTGATACAGTGGTATTGGTAAATGTCGTGGGTGTTGGTGGTGTCATTCCATTTGTTGGTGGTGTTTGGTGTTGTTGGTGGTGTTGGGCTGGCGACGTAGGTGTGTTGGGGTTTGTTGGGTGCGTCGAGTTGTTCTGCATGATAGTCAAGCCAAAGTTCCAACTGTTCTTGTGGTGTTCGTTGTTGGAACTGTGTGGATGGTCGCCAAGGTTTTGCAGGCCGGCGGAGGGCTGGAATGTTGGGATAGCTGGTTTGTGATTGGTTCGTGATAGCATCTGGTGGCAGTGAGTCGTTGTTTGGGAGAAGTGAGATGGGTTGTCTGGAGCGGCTGCGTGATCTGCTGTAAGAAGAAGAGTAGGATGAAGGGGAAGGGGATCGCGAGCGATGATGTCGCGATGAGTGGTGCTTGTGCGATCGGTGGTGACGGTGAGTGCGTCCGCCTCTGGTGTGATGCCGGTGGCGCCGGTGATGGTGTCGGCGGTGGCCGCGTTCATGGCGGCTGGGAGGCTTGGGCGCCGTCGGTGGTTGTGGTGTTGAAATGATTTGGTGAGAAGGTGGTGGAGCTGAAGGTCGTGTACCTTGGGGGTTGTCTGACTGAACTGAAGCTGCTGGAGTGGTGGGTGGAGGTGTGGTCGGTGGAGGTAGAAGAAGTCGAGGATGTCTGGTCAGGTGTTGCGGCGGCATGGCCTTCCGGTGCTGAAGGTGCTGTAGAGGCGGGTGACTGTGGGCCAGTGGTGGCTGCAGGGAGAGGCAAAGGGTCAGGAGGGGCGGAGGTGGCGGCTGCTGGAACTTGGCTTGGCTGGATGTGCCCAGGTTGGGTGACTGGTGAAAACTGAAAATGGTTGCCAAACTCCTTGGTTGTAGTCCCATTGCGTGGGTGCTGGCTGCGACACTTGCTGTGGGGTTGGTGGAATGTTCGAAACAGGTGCTTGTGGTGGATGTGGTGATGTAGGCTCTTGTGGAGGTAGTGCGTATGAAAACGGAATGGCGTGATGATGTGGTACTTGAGGTAAATGTTGTGGGACTGGAGGTAAGTGTTGTGGTGGTGGTTGGAATGAAGGTGGGGGCGGCCAGGTTGGCTGCGAAAAGTGTGGCAGAGTGGCTGGTAAATGTGAAATCGTGGCGGGCATGTGGGGTTGTGTCTGTGGGAGTGGAAGAGTCGGTGCTGTTGTAGGCGGTGCTTGATGTGGTAAGTATGGGTATGGCCACGGATATTGCATTGGGTCTGTGTTGGTAGTATCAAAAGTTCCGGGCAGATTGCTGTAGCTTCAAAAGGAGTTCGCTGCTCAATGGCACCAGCGCAGCGCGGCAGCAGCGGAAAGTCTCTGCTACTTGTACCCGTGAAATGAAGTCGTGAAAGTGGTGAAATGATTTGGGCGAAGATTCATGCACGATGGTGAAAGTGAAAGGTAAGAAGTGTGAAATAGGTGAATCATGGTGGAAAGATGAACTGACGTTTTCTGTACAGCTTGGAAGTCAAAATGCGATGACACATCCTTGAACTCGAAAGTGCAGCTGCAAAAAGAATTACGAATAACAAGCTCTTGCAAACATGTCGATACAAAGTCTGGAAAACAGAATATCCGTGAAAGCCCGGCGGCTCTGGGTTCCGACAATTCAGTAGTGAGACAAAGGCAGTTAACGTGATTCACGATGAAAAGACGATGAATCTGTGACACGATTTCCGGCATGGAGACGGCGCCTCCTTGCGGAGGATCACACCCAGCACCCAAGTGGGACGGCTGAGCGGTTCACACTCTGACATTGGTTTGCTGTTAACTCAATTCCCACGTTGAGAAGGAAGGTGAGGGAAACGCAAGGTGAAAAGGTCAGCGAGAAACAGTATGGCTTAAACTTGTGTTCAAGTGCACTCGACAACGATCGGACACTCAGCGCGGCTGCAAGTCTGCTGCAAGTCTGCGGTGGGAAAAGGTTTTGGGGTCTATCAAGGACCATGGAATCACACAGGAAAGATTGGAGTCACAGCGTGATCAAAAGTTGTTGGTGCAGGTACAGGAATGTGCGTCCACATTCCCTTCCGGCTGGATCCCATAGCTTCGTTGGCATGGCTAAGGAAACAGCTGCCATGCCCCCTGCAACTGTGGTGAAAAACACTACCTTCCCTCCGACAGTCATTGAAGCTGACCAGGACCCCCTAGTGGAGGAAAATTGTCTTCAGAGGCCTACGTTCCACTTCCATGATTGTTTGCGATTTGGTGCCACCTGCGTACTCAAGTCCGAGTCTTGGGTGCAGCCCCCACCACTGTATGGAACATTTTGTGGGATTCACCCTTGACTTCCCCAGCAGGGGCGCCCTCCTTGAGGATCTTCTTCGTCAGACCATGCGACCAGCACCAAGGCTCATGGCGTGAACGTGGGGCAACTGATGATGCTAATGCGACTCTTGCCACTTGGTGTGAGTCACCCGAGCATTTCTGACTTGTGCATTTCAATTGGGGAAGCTCCAAAGACCTGGTCAACGAAAGAGTCGACTAAAGTCTATTGGTTGATATTGGTTGGGTGATGGTCTCCTTTTTCAAACGGGCGCCCTGTCATTGCCACATGGCCCCGGGTCTCCAAGCTACTGGGCATCTTGGGGTTGGATCATGAAAGGGTCAAGGAACAAAATCAGACAGAACCCATGAGGGTCTCGCCCCAAGACTCGATAATTGAATCGTTTCATCCAGGATCATGCTCGTTTCGTCCTATCCTACGACAACCTTTCGATAATCAACGAGTGGGTATTGGGGAGCCTAGGCACCCCAAGAATCCCAAGGAAGCGTTTATCTTCCGAAACAACCAGCATCCATCAGCACGTTTGCTTCGTCGTCCTGCCAGCGTGCCCTTGCGTGGCACCCTCGCAGGCGCTTGTTGCGGATCTTGCGCTTGGCGAAGCTGGTGAAATCCGTGAGGCCTTTATACATCCTGGTGGTTAGCGTCACAGCAGCTGTGCAGGGCGTGGTTTGGGTGCCTGGGTGCGCAAACAGATGTGAACATGGTCTTGGTCCTCGGATCGTAGAGCGGTAAGAATGAACCAAACAATGAGAACATTGCTCATGATTCCTATTGGTTCCCCGAGATATTCCAACGCAAGGTCACATGGACTGAGGAATGCATTTATGATATTTCCCTAAATCGGCATGGTACCTCACCGGCGTACGACATGTGACGGTCTGTGAGAACTCAGAGGCAATCTCTGGCTCAGACGAACACTTTCTTGTCTTTGGGGGGTTCCATTGTTTGCTCATGTTTGCTCGACATTTTACACAATATGCAGACAAGGACAAATATAGGAGAGGACTGTTTAGGTTGGAGCTCGGTGAGGCCAACAAGGACGCCTGATCTTGGGTTAAAGTTAAAGGTTGCTTCTTGAATCATTTGCCCAAAAAGCTGTTGGGTGTGTGTTCTGGTGTGAATATAGCGATGTTGAGACGATGTGGAGACATACCAAACAAAAAGATTACAAAGCAAGCTATGTTTTTTTCCGTTGTTGGTCTGGCGATTTGGCGGGGCCTTCCATGGGCCGCCCGGGTGGTTTTGACCGAGGTCTTGGTGCTGACAGTGGTGACCTTGTACGCCATGGGAATCCTCACCACTCGACTCATCGGCCACAAGATGATCTTCAACGCCGACCAGGACAGAGCAGGTGGCAATGGTGGACCGGGAGAACAGTGGGGGCTGGTGCGTTTTTTGTTGTTTGGGTAGACCTGAGGGTAGAGAGAGGCTGTGTATACCGAATCTATTCACACCCAAAGTCGTACTTTGCGGATAGGGTGACCTGGGTCGGCGTGACCTGTGCAGGACGTGGACGAAGCACTCATCTCGCCTTTCAAGACCGTCCCTGATTCCATGTTCACATTGTTTCGGGTGATGAGTGGGGCGCAATCGGATGAAGAATCAGAAGCATTAGATCGGATTATGAGCAACATCCCTACCTTCAAATTTGCCTTTGTTTTCTTCATGGTGACCAGTTCCTGGACTCTGCTGTCGATTTTGACCGCGGTGGTGAGTGAGAATATGATCTCCACGACGGCCGTTCAAGAGACGGAAATCCAACTCATGTCGGAAGAAGAGGACCGAAAGGGGCACATTGAAGACCTCAAGGAACTCTTTCAAGAGATCAATACCACCGGGGATGGCATCGTGAGGGAGCGGGATTTAGTACGCTTCTTGCAGAACACCTCCAACGCGCAACAAACGGCCAAGATGTGCCGAGTGCCGGTGCGACATGTGCAAGAAGTCATGAAGACTTTGGCCATCAACTCCGATGTGATTCGGATGGAAGAGTTTGTAGAGTGCTTGTTGGATGTGGGGAATCCAGTGACGGAGAAATCCACCATGAGGCTTGAGGCACTGCATTTGGAGACACGAAGCCACAGCGTGAGGCACTCACAGGTCCTAGAGGAAAACCTGGAGACGATGAAACAGGTGGTCGAGGATCTCCACTTTGAACGCCAAGATCAGATCAATCAATTGGAGAAAACCCTTGCGATGCAAGGACAGGTGATTGGAAGACTGCAAAGCTCAGTCGAAGGACTTCATCAGAAGGTAGACCATTTCTTTCAGTTGCTGGCACCCCGGCAGGAAAGCAGATGAGGCACCAATTTTCAGCTTTAGTGCTAAAGAGGTCTCCTCTTTCACAACGAGGCACCGCCGAAGCAGTGGTTCCTTGCGCAGAGCAGAGGACTGCACGGGAAAAGCCTGTGCCGCCGAACCTGGCGAGAGAATGAGTCGATGTCATGAAGTGCGCCCGAGAAGCAAAAAGATCAAAAAGAACCAAATCACAGACAAACAACACAGTACTAATGTATACAAGGAGTAGCACCCCCGCCCCCCATTGAAAAATGCAAAGAACATAAGAAGGTAAGAGTCGCTTTAATAAGGCCCCTTTCAAGGGAAGCTTATTAATAGTGGGCTTCTTATTGATTTATATAATGGGGCCCTTACCTTCATACTTTACGTACTTCAACTTGTTGCAACATCTGAATCTGGGGATCTAGAATCCAGGGAGCAGGGGTGAGGTGTCTTTTAGGGTCCTCTACTGGGTGATGGTTTGGACCCCTGAATGATCACCGGAAACCAGTGATATGCTCCTTGCACCCTGTGGGAGGAGCCAACGTTTGCGCTTAAACGCCATCGCCAGCAACACTCAGCTGAGCTCATTCCAGAGATCCCTGCTTTGGCGGTCTTCAGCGCAATCCTTAAATGAGCTACGTGCCAGGGCGCTGCAGAGCGACACAGTGGGAGTCAACGCTGTTCTGGCCGCGTTATCATCGTGGAAAGATGTGCATTGCCTACTGTGGCAGACGGCTGGCTGGAGCGTGAGAAGTAGCACCATCACCTACAACTCGGCTGTTCCCAGTATGCCGTCCTGGGCGAGCTCTGCATGGTTGATGCGGGCAATGTGTGCAAAAGGCCTGGAGACTTCACGGGTCACCGGCAATGGGCTGCTTTATACGCTGGAGAGGAGCGCTGTTTGGGAAGAGGCTCTTGAGCTCTTCTGGGCCCTTCCATTGGCCCCAGACATCATCTCCTGGGGTTCCACCATCAACGCCTTGGCGCAGGTGGAGGCTTGGGGCAGTGTGCTCCACCTACTGCAGATGCTAAGGTGCCAGCGGCTGCATGGCAATGTGGCCACCACAACCTCGGCCATTTGTGCCTTGCGAGACCGCTGGCGGCAAGCCTCAAAACTCTTCTGGCATGAACATGTGGACCACAGTTTCGACGAGGTCGAACTGAGCTGTAGCAATCTCATGGCCAGCTGCCAATCTTGGTGGCAGTCCTTGTGGTGGCTTACCCACCTCTGGAGCCATGGTCTCCAAACCCTTTCCTTCAACGCACCGCTGGGGATCTGTGCACAGCAGCGCCAGTGGAGGAGGGCATTGTCCCTCCAGTGCTTTGGCCTGGACCCAGCCAGCCGGAACCTCCTCGCCGCTGCCTGTGCGAGCGGGGCGCGCGGGGCGCGCAGGGCGGCAGCGCCGGTAGCGGTGCAGCTGCTAGGAGATTTGTTGGAGGTGGCCATGGCCACGATGAACAGACGAGGACAATGCGGTCTGAGCACAGACGGACGTCCTTCTTGTTGGCCAGGGGCTGGGGCGGCTAGGGCCGCTAGGGGTTAGACCACCGAATGGATTGGGAACAAGAAAAAGACAACTAGGAATACCAAAAGCAACCAAATGATCATAAGATGTTGCCGTAGATCAGTGACGATTCGCCAACTCAGTCCACCAAGTGTTTGAGTTTGTGGTTGCATTAGTTGGCCCAGGTTGGACTGCAGGCGCGAATCATTTTCAAGCCAAGTGGATTTTGGATCCAGTCTTGGAAGATCCTAGAGGGAACGTACTTAGGCGGTGAGGTTAGGGGCAGATGTTTTCCTTTTTTTCATGCCATCACCTATAGCCTATACACATGCCTATACATAGCGCTCGCCCTCGCCTTTTGCCCTTTGGATTGGATGTAATTCTCGGCTCATAGACACAAATGGATTAGATCTGCAGAGCTCCTTTGCCAAACGGCAAGGGCCTATGGATGGATTTGCCGAAGATCGGCAAGCCTTGTGGATCAGCTAGCATTGGAGAAGCTTGCTTTCAAGCCAAGCCTGACCCCCTCTCACTCAGACCCACTACCCGTACTGTAGTAAAGGACAACTACCCAGTGATCAGCAGTGTACACATCAATCAATTACAGTAAGCGAACAAAAATGATTATAGAATATAGAACAGGTGATGCCTCCCCTGCTGCGTTTTGTCACCCAAAGCTTGCGTGCCCATTGGGTACAACGGTTCGTTTGCTTTCAAGTCGTTGGGGGGGTTCGGTTCCATTCTGGGTGACCATGGGTGCCATCTCACTTGGTATGTGGTGACGCAAACCTCCGGAGGGGTCGCTGCTATGTGAAACACGTTTCCGAGGAGAATGGCCAGAACGGCCCCTCAAAGGCCTTCGAGCTCGATCCCTTGAGCTCACTGCGCCTGGGATGAAGAACGCGTCCCCAAGCTCACAATCGAAGGTCCCAATCGCAGGCAGCAGATGATCAGCAAAGCGGATGGTTTTAGGGTTCCATAGGGCCTACAACTGAGATTCATTGCCCCCTACGGCCAAACACCTGGATATGTGGTCGATGTGGTCCCTGGATGTGTGGATGGGGGCTCCTCATTCATGCGTGTTTCCAAATGCAAGAATCGCGGAGTTGAATCCAATAGTACTTGTATGTATGTATGTATGTATGTATGTATGTATGTATGTATGTATGT